AGTTTATTTGTTAGTGTCGACAACAACTTTAAAACAAGAATTATTGCTCAAGCACTAATAAAGTATGAGACTCAGAACGATTATGATTAGATTTTACAATGCACGTTAAAAGGATCTAATAATCTTCAGCCTAAAGTGTTATTCACCGATGGTGATTCGGCAATGATTGCTGCAGTTCATACTTCATATCCACAGACATGGCATATGTTATGTATCTATCACCTTATTGAGAATGTTAAAAAAAAAGCAAGGGCCAAGCTTCGGGGTGAGATGATGAAATGTTTTGTTGAGGATTTTTTTAGCATGCGAAATAGTTATAGCCAACAGCAATTTGAAACAAGGTATCATAATATGTTAACAAAGTATGAGCTATGTCATTTATACTTTGAAAAGCTCTATCATAAGCGTACTTCATGGGCAAGATACTCTGTGGCGAAAGTGTTTACAGCTGGAATAGAATCTACACAGCGTGTAGAATCTATTAATGCTGTTATTAAAAAACATGTTGATTGTGGCACCTTGCTAAAAGAATTAGTTAATGTAATTGAACAAGAATTAGAGAAAGAAGCTCAGTATACTAGAATTAAGGATTACTATGGGTCTAATCCATCCGTTGGTCTTGCATCGACTTATAGCACTATATTCAAGGAGATTGATTCTATATTAAGAGATAATTTGGCACCTATTACATTGTCTTTTCAAAGAGCTCAGATGAAACAGGCTTTATTGTATCAAGGAATCTTAATTTCAATTAATCAGGTTAAAGAGTGGGATGTTAATTATAACGACATAATTGAACGATTATATAATACACCTCAAATTCGTTTAGCTGAACTCATGATTGATATACCTTACGATGCAATTAAAGAACTTTGGGAGGTATCATATATAGCTTCTGATTCAATGCCACATTATGTCGTTATACTTAATGACTTAACATTACTTTGTACTTGCATGAACATCATAAATCAAGGAATGTTATGTCGACACCAGTATCGTGTGCTTATTCAATCTAATAATGCAACATTTCACGTATCACTTTTACATACCCGTTGGTTTGAATCATCATCATCAGATATAACAAATTTTGTTACAGTTTCTAGAGGTGTAAAAAGTACTACATCTATACCATTGCATTACATGAACCAAGTAAGAACCTGCGATGTTTATACACCAGCCATTAGAAGTCACGTTAATAAGAAGGTTCAGTTTGGTACTGCAATGTCTGTGGCCAAAACTAGCATTCAAATCGCAGTATCTGAGGGTGTCACTGAAGAATTAACTGGACTTTTAATGCAATTTATCATGAAGCATCGTCGTGATACGGGACTGGGTATAAAAGACATTTCATCATTTCCAAACATTATGCTACAAGAGTCCTTTACTGCCGAAGTTACAGAATCTATATCCACTACTAATGAAGTTACAGAATCTATATCCAATCTCGTACCGGCATCTTCTACTATTACTCAAGGAATACGACAACCTTTGGGCAATCTTATTGAGGTTTCTAACCCAGAGTATCATAAACCAAGAGGGCGGCCTCTCAAACGACTTAAATCAGCTGTTGAAGAAGATTCAACATCTGTTAATAAGTCAGAGAATACTGTTCTTAAAACGTGTGGATATTGCTCCGGCAAAGGCCATAATATTCGTAGTTGCAAAAAATATAAATTTGATATGGGTAACAAAGAGAATTGTTAGTGGTAAG